TTGAGATGTAGTCTCACTGTTGTCCAGGCTGGAGTGCAGTGGTGCAATCTCAGCTCACTGCAACCTCTGTCTCCGAGGTTCAAGGGATTCTCCTGCCTGCCTCAGCTTCCTAAGTAGCTGGGATTACAGGTACGCACCACCATGCCCGGCTAAATTTTTGGAATTTTTAGTAGAGACACAGTTTTGCCATGTTGGCCAGGCTTGTCTCAAACTCTTGACCTCAACTGACCTGCCTGCCTTGGCCTCCCAAAGTGCTGGGATTACAGGCATGAGCCACTGTGCCCAGCCTCATTTTATTTTATTTTTTTTATTTATTTATTTTGAGTCGGAGTCTTGCTCTGTGCAGGCTGGAATGCAATGGCTCGATATCGGCTCACTGCAACCTCCACCTCCCGGGTTCAAGCCATTCTCCTGCCTCAGCCCCCCGAGTAGCTGGGACTATAGGCTTATGCCACCACGCCTGGCTAATTTTTGTATTTATTTTAGTAGATATGGGGTGTCACCATACTGGCAAGGCTGGTCTCGAACTCCTGACCTCATGATCTGCCTGCCTCGGCCTCCCAAAGTGCTGGGATTACAGACACGAGCCACTGCGCCCGGCCACATTTTATGTTCATAGATAATCTTTATAACCATTTATTGAGATATAATTAATGTATCATAAAATCTACCCTTGGAAGGTATGAAATTCAGTAGTTCTAGTATACTCAGAGATGAATATATTAAACCGTTTTCTGATTTTAGAACCTTTCATCACCCCAGAGAAACCCTATAGCCACTGGCAGTCATTCCATGTTCTCTGTCTCCTCAGCCACCAGCAACTATTCAGCTATTGTCTCCATGATTTGCCTATTCTGGACATTTCCTCAAAATGGGATCATGATATATGTAGCCTTTATGTATGTGGCTTCTTTCATTAGCATAATGTTTTCAAGGTTCATTCTTGTATATATCAGCACTTTATTCCTTTTTGTGACTGAATAATGTTCCATTATATAAATATGCCACATTTTGTTTATCCATTCATCATCTGATGGAGAGTTCTATTGTTTCTGTTTCTTGGCTGTTATGAATAATGCTGCTTGCACAGTTTCCTTAAGGGATATAAGAGACCTGTTAACTACTCCTGGGAAATGTGAGAGGGAGACATATTGTTTACCTTTTTGTACTAGGTGATTCTTTTTTTTTTTTTTCAAGCTAAGTGCATATATTACTTTAAAACAAAAATAATCATATTATGACCAAGGATAAGTAATTATACCTTTTGCTTTTAGTTTTCTCATTTTAAGTAAAATTGGTTGAAATATTTGTCAAGGTGTTTTTTAGTTCTCAAATTTTGTTTGTGATAAAATGAGTGATAATGTTATAGGAATTTTTTCTTCATGAATGAGAGTTGCATTTTTATATCTGCTGTGTAACTTGCAATTTGTTTTCATCATAGGACCTAGAGTGGTTGCTACAATGGAAGGGATCAGTAATTTCAAGACACCATGCAAATTATCAGAAAAAAAGAAATCTGGTAAGATAGCAGATGTGACTTTTTTTTTTATGATTACTATCGTCGTTTCTCTTAGAAATGTCTTAGTATTATTTAGTTTGATCCTTTAATTATCTGTCACATAGAAACTTTATCGTAAATCCCCTTTATGATGTTAATTGTAACAAATAAGTCTTATTTTATAGGCCACAGTTTGATCATCTCTGGACAGTCTAACAGGTTTGGAGGCTCTTCCTGCTCAAAAATCAACTTAGCTTGATCCCTTAAGGAACTGCTTTACCTCTCTCCCTCCCATTCACACATAGCTCTAGAGGGAAAGATCTTTTCCAAGGCAACTCAATGGACAAAGGAAAATCTTCTCAACAAACACCTGGATATCCATGTGCACAAAATGAGCCTTGATCCTTAACTCTCATATAGAAAATAGCTAAAATTAAATTTCTGGAAAATAACCTGAGAGAATATTATGTCATCTATTTCTCGTGATCAGCTTTTCCTGTTGACCTTGTATCCTGCAACCATCCTAAACTCATTTATTCCATTAGCTTTTTAATAGATTGCTTAGGATATAGTATATCGTTGGTCATTTGTGGATGAATCAAGGCAGTGTTACTTTGTTCCCCAGTCTGTATGGCTTTGTTTCTTTTACTTTTTTTATTGCACTGGCTCCAGTATGTTTTTGAATAGACTTGTTAGTGGATATACTTGACTTGTTTCCCAATATATTATATTAGATGTAGATTTTTCACAAATGCCCTTTATTAGTTTGAGGAATTTTCCTTATACTTCTAGTTATTACTGTGAGTGGGTATTGAACTTTGTTGAGTGATTTTTCTGAATCTTTTCTTTTTCAATCTCTTAATGTGGTAAATTATTTTAATTTTCAAGGATTAAACTGACCCTGCATTCCTCGTGTAAAGCCAGTTTGGTCATGATACATGTTTTATATTGCCTGATTTGCTGGTATTTTCTGTATTCATGAGGGATATTGGACTGCCGTTGTCTTTGTTGGGATATCTGTCTAGTTTTTGTATTAGCTTGTTCTGTATTCATAAAGTAAGCTGAGAAATGTTTCTCTTTAACAGAAATGTCTTTTTCTTTAACTTTATGTAGAACTGGTATTATTCCTCCTTGAACTGGTAGAATTCACCAGTAAAACCACCTTGACCTCGAGTTTTGTTAGTGGGAAGATGTTAACTGTGACTTCACAGTTAATAGATACAGCGCTATTCAAGTGATCTCTTATTTTCTTTGTTAATTTTCTTAGTGTTTTTCAAGGAATATGTCCATCACTTCCAAATTGTCAAATGTACTGGTGTAAAGTTATTCTTGATATACTCTTATTAACCTTCTAATGTCTTTTTTCATATCTGGTACTGGTATTTTATATTTTATTTTTTCTTAATCAGTCTGACTTGAGGCTTATGTGTCTTGGTGAATGCTGCATGCACTTGAAAATGGGCATTTGTTTCTACTCTCGTTGGGGTGTTCTGTAAATGTCAGTAGGTCAAGTTGATTGACCTGTTTATGTTATTTTCTTCAGGTCTTCTATATCCCTGCTGGTGTTCTGTGTACTTTTTATAATAATTATGAGAGAAGAGAGTTGAACTACAATGTGGATTTGTCTGCTTCTCCCCACCCTCCCCCCAATTTCTATCTGTTGATGCTTCATGTATTTTGAAGCTTTGCTATTAGATACATACACATTTAGGATGGTTATTTCTTTCCTTTTTTTTTTAATTGCATTTTAGGTTTTGGGGTACATGTGAAGAACATGCAAGATTGTTGCATAAGTACACACATGGCAGTGTAATTTGCTGCCTTCCTTCCCTTCACCTATATCTGGCATTTCTCCCCATGCTATCTCTCCCCAACTCCCCACCCCCTACTGTCCCTCCCCTATTTCCCCCCAACAGACCCCAGTGTGTAGTGCTACCCTCCCTGTGTCCATGTGTTCTCATTGTTCAACACCCGCCTATGAGTGAGAACATGTGGTGTTTGATTTTCTGCTCTTGTGTCAGTTTGCTGAGAATGATGGTTTCCAGGTTCATCCATGTCCCTACAAAGGACACGAACTCATCGTTTTTGATGGCTGTGTAATATTCCATGGTGTATGTGTGCCACATTTTCCCTGTCCAGTCTGCCATCGATGGGCATTTGGGTTGGTTCCAGGTCTTTGCTATTGTAAACAGTGCTGCAATGAACATTCGTGTGCATGTGTGCTTATACTGGAACGATTTATAATCCTTTGGATATATACCCAGAAATGGGATTGCTGGGTCAAATGGAATTTCTATTTCTAGGTCCTTAAGGAATCACCACACTGTTTTCCACAATGGTTGAACTAATTTACACTCCCACCAACAGTGTAAAAGTGTTCCTGTTTCTCCACATCCTCTCCAGCATCTGTTGTCCATAGATTTTTTAATGATCGCCATTTGAACTGGCG